GTGGCCCACTTTGCGAAGTGGGAAGAGTGGCCCACTTTGTTTGGAGGAAATGGCTGGCTGGAGATATGAACAAGAATGCTTGTTCATGAGGTTAGGTCATATGTCTAATGAAGGGGACGGGATACATTATCACTGTTTTTGCAGGTTCTACATATGTTTGTTTGATTACCCTGTCTTGGTGTCCAACTTATTTTGACAGATTAGCATTTTTGTAGCCAAAAAGGCTTCCATAGGAGTGCCCATGCCTTCCCTGTGGTAGAAGGTCTGCAAAAAGTGATATCGTTCACTAGCTGGCCTCTCTCAGTGCTTGCACAAATACCTTCTGGCAGTCATGGACAGCTCAAAAAAAGAGGTAGGATTTCTTTCACCTGTACCAAGGCTTTGAAAGGTAAGGAGCAGCAGGGAAAACACTCTTTCTTAGCTGCTCCAGTGCAGCCTATTTGAGCTCAGAAAAGGGGAATATAAGCATCTAGGTGCTCTTGCTAAATGCTAGATGCATTGACCTCTGTAGACACTTTTATGGACACCTTTTTCTTTTTGATTGTATATTATATGTGCCCCCTGAATCTGGGTTTGAGAATTAAAATACACCTAAAAAGACTAGTTCATACTGCAAGAGAAGGAAAGAGGGCAGACTGGAGTAAAGATGAAAGATCTGAGGCTTCTGGTTTGGACTACCTACCTGGCACTTGTTGGCTATTTTTGTGTATGTTTATGTGTTTGCAGGGAAATAAAATGATGAAAAGAAGTGCTTTTAAAGTGGCCCAGACCATTCATGGCCATACATTTGGGCAGTAATGCAATTAAATAAGTAATAAGTAATATTCTCAGTTCATAATTTGTGAATGCGGTCTAAGACATTTTGTGGATTGCAACAAGACTGCCTCTTATTCATCCTATTTTAGTTAAAATTATGTTTAGGTTACTTTTAAGGGAAATTAAACCCATCAAGCTTACCTGGATAAGCCCCCCAGAAGCTGGGTTCTTCTTTTAACAAATCAAGAGACCTAGTAGGCACTGTCATGTAAGGCTCTTGGAGCGCTTCATACGAAAATGATTGGATAAAGAGAAGAAAAATATAATGGATGCTCTTGAGAAAAAATTAGGTTAAGCATTCCCAGTATCAGTCCTCACATCAACACATGGAATAGCAAAAATGCTATTCATAATTATGTGTGTACCCCATATAGACAGGGAGATGCTATGACTGTTCAATGCAGAATGAAAGACACATCTAAAGGAGCAGTACTGAACAGGGTTCAGTATTACTTTGTTTTCCATTCCTGTTTCATTTCAGTCAATTCACAGTATGCAATGATGAGTATTACAGGCAAAGAACTTTCTGTGTGTGAATGATAGAAGGAATGTGTTTATTCAAATGTAAGTTGTACAACATAGCAGAAGAAATAATGGATTTAGTCTTTCAAACAATTGAGTGATGCAGGAAGCACTAGACTGGGGGTGGTGGTGGAATCTTCCTTGAACCCCTGCTGCCATGCTCAGCAGTTAGTTAACATAAAGCTTATGTTTAAAACAAACCCTAATTAATTACTGGCAACATAATTATGAAACTTTGGCAGGCTTATTAAAATTGGCATAGACTTTGGCTAAGTTTTGAAATCAGCAAACCCGTATTGATTTTATAAACATCAAATAGCATTATGCTGAAATGCTGTGCATATGAAATTGACTAGAAATTGATTGCCTTCAATTATACAATTATTTTTGTTACTCAGAGATTTTACCAGTTTCATGAACTGGGCAGAGGATTTTCTTGTTCAATGTATGAAACAACATGCTTAACTCACATATCAAGTAAATGATTTAGATATTTCATAACTGTGACAACTTTTGTTTGAAAGAAAGATATTCCACAAAGAAATGATTGTAATATTTCAGTGCAATGTAAAAATCTAGGAAGTACTTCTCTGAGTACTGGAGAAATCTTCTGTTCTGGTCGTTCTCACGTGGGATATTTTTAAACCATTCAGATATACACAATTAAAGGTGTGATCCCCAAGCACCTTCCACACTGTTTCCCCAGTGGAACTGAATCATTGGAAAAATGTACAGTGTTCCTTTTTTATGCAGTACTAATATCATGTCCATACGGATTTAAATAGCAGTTAGTGGTAAATAGTTGCATCCAAATATTTACATTTTAAGCAAAGAATATTGACCTGCCATTATAAAATGTTTTTATAGCTTTTGAGGAGGGAGATACTATTATGTCTTTTACATTCTAGGGAAAAAACCCATTTTATTTCCATTCAGTCCTATATGCAAAAATCTCAACTCACACAATCAGATTTTTACAATAGAATGATAACTCCCATGAAATTGTTATCAAGGAAAAGGATGAGTAGACAGTTCATTCTGTACTGTATTGAGATAGCTGCTCTCACAAAACATGAATAAAGCAATACATGTTTTTAAAAGTTTTGACTTGCTTGAGAATGACTAATGAAAAGAAAAACAGAAGACTTTTGCAAGACTTACAAAGTATCAGTGCAAAGGAACTTGTAATTAATTTCTAGTTTCTCTTAGAAAGTCCATTGTAGGCTGTCTAAGCACTTTTACCCAGTAAAGCAAAAATAAAAATAACTTGATGTCTGTTAAGATTTCCAATGTGGGGCAGATAGAAAAATATTACAGACCATTTAGATTATGGGAGCAGTATAGCTATTCTTCACTGAGCTCCATTTTGTGCTGATATGTAATATTAAAACAATGTGGATTCATGTTCCATCACAGACTAAATGTGGCTGGACCACATGGGAACTGATGGGAAATTATGTATCTGCGTGATAACCATCTTCTGCAGGAAATATTTTGCCCATTAGTCTTATTATGAAAGTGAAAAGTATGAATAGTCTTATTCATTCCACCTTTTCTGAGATCACTGCTGTTTTCCTATGGAATGGATACAAAAATATTGGTGGTTGAGGTGGGAAAAACTGATGCTAAGTGTTTCTAGTTGGAAGCTTGGTCAGTGAAACCATGGCAGACTGCTTAAAATGTTTGCAGCAGCCCATTCAAGAAATTAAGTCAACATGAACTCAGCTTGCCAGAATGGACAAACATCACAACAAGCCACAGTGAGAATAAGCCACTATGAATGGGTTGTTTGCTTGCTAATTCCTATTATACAGTTGAGGGCTCTATAGTTTGCTCTTCCTGTTAGTCCCACAATCCACTCCCTGCATCTGTCCCATGGGCAACACAATACCTCATTTTGTGGCTGCTGTCTCTTGAGTGTAACTTATTGCCCCACTCCCCAGCCCCATCAGATATTCCCACTTCCTCTGCCTTGAATTGGAATGTCAGAATTACCTCTTCTACTTCGGAACTTCTCCTGGTAGTAACCGCTGTTGTTGTCATCTTTATTATTGTGTTTCCTGCCACCCTTGCACTGGTCTGCAAGTTCAAATGACTGCTTGAGTGCATATTGTCCTATTTTATTTACATGCTTGCAGAACACAGTTCTGTAAATTGCCCCGTCAAAAGAAGCAATTCCTTTTGTATAAGGATGATAGGGAAATGATCAGCACATGGACAATTTTTGTAAAATAGTTGCCTGTAACCAAGTTTTAGAGAGCCAGTGTAGTATCCTAGTCCAGGACTTGAGAGATCTGGAATCTATTTCCTGCTCAGCCATAAAGCTCACTGGGTGTCTTTGCACTAATAAAAACACATCATATGGTTGTTGAAAGGATAAAATGTAGAGGAGAAAAAGTTTGCAAGCTGCCTTGAATTCCTTGAAAGAGGAATGCAATAGAAAAAGGCCACATAAAAAGTTGAATTACAACAGTGATACCCTGACAATGTATTTTTATCTATGTATTGGTAATCATCTTGGGTTATGACAATATGTTCTGTTTCTGAACATTTCTAGAAGCATCAGGTAATTTGGAATGTTTCTGGCTACCTCAAATATGAGGTGGGGGAGAAGTAATTTCAGTGTTCTTGAATTTGCACTGGTTTCCTGCTGTGTTCGAGACATGGGCCCTAATATTCCTTGAAATCTTCAGAGCAGGCCATACTCCTGTTTCTCTGTGTTCCAAATTGGGCTTATGAGAATTTGGGGATAGGTTTTATTTTGTGGTGCCTCCCCAACATTTCCTTTGAAAAAAGGTCCATCGTTCCTTTTTACAAGCATTGCTTAGGAAGATAGACTACTTTCATGCATGCAAATGGCTTATACTAGCTTTGATGGGAATGCAAGCTCCAACAGTGCAAATGAGATTGTTGTGGATTCACAGCAAGCGCCAGGATCAGATCAAGGTCAGGAAATGTCTGGGGAGCAAGGACAGTTATTGTTAGTCCAGGCTGATGGGGGTAACAGCCAACTGGCTCATGGGAATGGAGAAAGAGCACAACAGGGGCAGGGTGGACAGACAGTTCTGTTTAGAGTTCTGGTCTACCAATATCAGAGCAGGAGGAGGAGGAGTAGAGGGGGAGGAGGAGGACAAGTTAGGGCCTGGGCAGTTCCCAGAGCAGGAGTTGAGTAGTCTGTCTGACATAGAGGTACCTCCACCTGAGGAGGTGATGCTGGTTGCTAAGGGACAGCACAAGTGGGAAATTCAGCTAACCAAGAAAAGAGAAGAGCCCAGGATGGCTAGGTTTCCGAACACCCTGCCTGCTGGGATGCACAGGTGAAAGGGCTAGAAAGAAGGCTAGAAAGACTGAGGGTTGTATCAGAGATAAGGAATAATAAAGTCTTGTGGAAAAGCATCTTGGGAGTAGTGTGTTTACTCAGGAAGAGAGTTGCACCTTGTGACAGGAGGCTTGTGTGATATTCAATGGAGCAGCATTGCTGTATTATGGTACGGGAAGCCACATAATATTGGGCAAGCAGTGAGAAACATTAACCAGCATTAAGGGATATTCTTATGCCAGTTAAGTATGTGTCTTTGAAACCAATGTGCATTTATTTTGCTTTTTTAAAAACATTTTTTAAATGGCTTAATGCTAATATTCAGGTTTGTTTTCTTTCATAGGTTAACTGAACCTTCTGGATATTTAACAGATGGACCAATAAATTACAAATACAAAACTAAATGTACATGGTTAATTGAAGGATAGTAAGTATTTATTTTGCATTAATGTCAAGCTGTTAACTTGATATGTTCAGCTAAGGTCAGCAAAGATTCCCAGACAGTCAGGGTGGGGACAGCTTGCCGCCAGTGGATAAAACGGCCAGCTTCTTACTTCTCCAGTACTCCCCAACCCTCCCCACCAGTCTCAGTGTGAGTGGCCAGGCCAGCATCTTCTTTCAGTCTAGCAGTGGGCCTGCTTTCATAATTAATTTTTCAGGAAGCCCTTAAATCAGTTTCTAAGTTTGGCCATCATGAAAAATGTTTACAGAACTAATAGTGAAATCCTGTATATGATTCTTCAGAGGGTGGTATCAGTATATTGAATGTGACTTACCCCAGGTTGGATTGCAGTCTAGGAAAATTTTGTTAAAGCTATAAGCATGAGGGGAAAAGGCAAAGGGAGATATGAGGAGGGAATGTGTGGGGAATGCAGCTTGTTCCCAGGTCAATGAATTGTGTTATGTTGGTATGATTGAACCATGCAAATGTCAGGTTAATTCTCCAAGTGGAATTTTCTCAGATGACTAATGGTTTACAAATAAAGCAGTATTTTATCGTGTGTGCGTGCAGAGTGCAGGAACTTGTTTTCATACACAGTTCTGAGCAATGGAATACAAAGTTGCATTTGACTTGTGTTTGAAAACAACTTTTACATTTAATAATACTATATTGGCATGTTGTAAGCCGTCCTGAGATGTTGTTGTAAAGGATGGCATATAAATGTTTTAAATACATAAATATTTATATTGATATAAGATACACTGTTTCTGGGAAGACTCTAGCTAATACTATTGCTTTCCCCCCACCCCTTCTCTTCTAGTCCCAATTCAGTTTTACGATTAAGATTTAATCATTTTGCCACAGAATGTAGTTGGGACCATATGTATGTTTATGATGGAGATTCAATATATGCACCTTTAATAGCTGTATTTAGGTGAGTACTTCAGTTTAATAGCTTTTATTACATTTTAATGAAAATATGTGTGTGTTGAATAGAAGCTAAGCATGGGGACACTAAAATTTGCTATCCTTTTTCTGGTGTGTTTCCAGTGCCAGTTTTGACTTGCCTATTTCAAATCTTTCTTGGTTCCTCGTCAGTATGTTTTGTTTTATGTAGTTGCTTTTAGTAACATATAGTTTCCCAAGTTTATTCTGACTGACTTTCCTGTACAACCCATCCTCCTCAATTCTTCATAATAGAATTATGAATGCTTTTCTTTTCTATTGGAGATAAGTCAACCTAGTATGTTTAAATTGAGAATGCAAGCCTCTATGAATAGGAACATGGTTTGTACCTTTGGGGAACATTCTTTGTATCTTCTTGAGTACCTGTTCCTACATGACTAATTAGTTCTAACAACCCTTTCAGTACTGGCAGGTTCCATTTCTAAGACAGGCTGAGGTTTGTTCAGCTTTTTCAAATATGAAGGAAATGTGTTCAGTTTCCAGTCTCTGCAGATAGCAAGATTTGTCCAGATTATTCCCCCTTTTTATTGTGGAAACTGTGGAGGTCCGCAGTCTGATACAACTTATATAACAGTGCATTGTTACCAGTGCAGGGAACAAAATCTGGGGGCGGGGAGGGGGGGAGGTCTAACTGTGAAAATTCATTTGATTTTCATCCTTCTATTGGATTCCTCACACATACCTAATGGTAATAACCAGACTACTATTCTTAGGATGATAGTATTCCTTCCTGTTATTTTACTTAGTTCCTATTCATGGTAGTCTTTCTTTTCAGTTCCCACTCTTTTGTTGCAAAGTTTGTTCTGAAAATGGCAACAGCGTCAACACTTCTTATATTTAACTGTTGTTCCAGTCAAGTAACAACAATCATTCATGGTCTGTAATCCTCCATCTCTGGGCCTGGGTCTGCCTTAGAGATCTTTCATGGCACTGCTTACCTCAACTACCCTTGCAGTATGCAAGTCAGGAAGCCAGTTCACATAGGAGCCAGGTCTACATTTGTATATATAGGGGTGTCTGAAATATATGTAAATGCTCCTTTTTGCATAATGTAATTTACCATGCATTATTTTCAGATCATGCAGTATTTTTAGAAATGTATTAAGCAGTTCAAATAGAATTTTCAATGCATAGAAACCTGAGATAGCTTTTGAAATTTAAAAACATTCAGAAAACCATGTCTAATTCAGTATGCAGGAATTCCTGTTCATGAGTTTATGACTGCTTCAGTCAGTGCAATTGAATGCAATTCTGGAATGTTTCCAAATTGTGCTGATCACTCACCTGATTTATTTAAATCCCTAACTTTTTATTACGGATGTTACTGGTAATATGAATCCTTCATGTTTAATCTTTTATAGTGGTCTTATAGTTCCCGAAGTACATGGGAATGAAACCGTACCTGAAGTAGTTACTACATCGGGCTATGCATTGCTACACTTTTTTAGTGATGCTGCTTATAATCTAACCGGATTTAATATTTTTTACTCGTAAGTATTTTTTATTAGTCATGTCACTTTATTTATCACCAGGGAAATGTTTATCTTTGTAAATATGAACTGAGGTTTAAAAGTATTTGGTCTTATGCAAATTGGAATTTTGACAAAGAAGTGAAGGGTAAGAAGACTCCCACTAGATTGAACTGGCTCTTGGAAAGGGCTGTTGTCTTGGGTTGTGAAGGTAGGATACTTAAGAGAGGTAGGTAGGCATGGGTGACCACTTCACATCTTTCTGCAAGACAGAGGGATTGTTATCCATTAGGTAGAGCTCAAATTTGACCAGAAGTGGTGCTGGGGAAACATCAAGGCACACATTTAGATCAGCCCCTACCAAACTGGTATTAATTGTAGGAGTTGCAGACAACATCAGAGGGTAACAAGTGGGCAAGATCATCTTAGATTATAAGCTGAAGGGCAGGGACTGTCCTACTGATCTTTGTAAGCTGCTCTAGGAGCCCTTCTGCTTGATGAGTGGGACAAAAATGCTTCAAATAAAAAAATGATGATGCTAGCAATGCCGGTCTCCCTCACCATCTTGTAAACAGGAGCTAGAACAACAATTTTCACACTGGTCTTACCTGATGCCATTTACCAAGTGGGCTCTTCTTTTAGGGAGGGTGAATACTTGGCCCAGCAGTAATCTCTAACATCTTGTGAATTCTTAGGAGAATTGTTATCATCATCGTACTTCTGCAGATTTATAATAATTTGTGAGAGTGTGGTAGTGATCCCTCATTTCTTGGAAGTGTCCTATATACAACTAAATTAGCAAGTGGTTATATGCATACATAAGTTCCCAAAACTACTTTAAGCAGTGCAGCTCTGGGATGCAGAAAAGTTGGCTATAATGCAAGCCAGGCAGAAATTGTATTTCAGAACAGTTAAGGACCAAGAAGTACCAGAATAAGGTATATAATTAAAGGCAAGCAGAAGTTAAGGTCAACGGCACCAAAGTGCTCATGTAGAATAAGTTACAGTGCCAGAAATGTAGAACAGTCTGAACAATTTCATGGTATTCTGCTTATCATAATATAACTGGTTTCTTATTTTGGTTTTACTATTCCAGTGGCTCCTGAGATAAGCTGTACTTGACTAGAATAGATAGTTTAAAGGTTTCTGTTCTTAATATTTTTCTCCTTTTCATGAAATAACAATGTGAAATTATATTAAAATGTACATAAAGGCTTGACAAATATGCATACCATTGCTTTATTTCCTCTTATTACAGGATTAATTCATGTCCCAATAATTGCTCAGGGCATGGAAAATGCACAACTAGTAGCTCAATTCCAAGCCAAGTGTATTGTGAATGTGACAAGTATTGGAAGGGAGAAGCCTGTGATATTCCTTATTGTAAAGCTAACTGTGGAAGTCCTGATCATGGCTACTGTGACTTGACAGGAGAGAAACTGTGTGTGTGCAATGACAGCTGGCAAGGTGAGTTGACAAAAAGTCAAATGTCCTGACTGTGGCTGAGACTTCATGAACTTGATTGTTGTTTGATATGAGTCCCTGCTCATCCTCCTGAGCCTCATGGGTGAGACTAAAAATATAAACACATTTCCTACAGCAATTCAAGTTCTCTTAATCTATACAGTCTCCTGGGTCATCTACAGATAGATATTTAAGACTACCTGTTTGACATGTTAAATATCTCTGCTTCTGTTTCTGATTTTCCCTCATAATAATAAGTACCCTGATAGAGCTTAATATGCTTTTCCTTGCATATTTTTTAGATCATTCTTTGAATTGTCTTATTTAGAAAAGGGTATTTCTTTATACCTGCAATCTTCAGAGCACAGTTTCCCAGCTGGTTTCTCACTTGCTCTTTGTTAGGTTTTTGTCTCAGTGACTGAAGCCACTGCTTCTGCTCTTGAGTAACTGTTTCAGGCAATGCTATGGCATTGTGATATCTATGGCATTGTGATATCTGCTCACTGCATGTATGGAGCAACAGATGCACTGGACAGTCAAATGCCAGCAGAGGAATGTCAAGTGTTGGGATGAGGACAACGCTATACTTTAATGGTGCTGGAGATTTTACCAGTAATTAACCTATCACCTGTATAAGTAAAAGACTTTGAAAAAGTTGCAGGACTCCCCTTTCCCTGCCCGTCCAATGCCGTAGTCCCAGGCATCAATAAAAACAAGGATAGGGAAGGAATTCTTTTTATGCAGATTCCTGCAACTGTATTAGCCATATGGCATGTTAAGTGTAGTCGCTGCAGTTGCAGGTGAGTGGGGAGTGGGAGAATGCAATGTTTAGTTTAGCTCAGAATGTGCTTATAAAGCTAAACCAGAATCTATATTTTGAAATAGAGAGAAGTTTGTGTTTTCCTGAAGGAACTTTCTGAAGGAACTATCTGCCCCAGAATTCCTTGTGCACAAGGAAAGGGACAGAGGACCAAGATAATTAGAGAGACTGATAATGGGAAATGATGTTGCTTGCAGGATTTGTATACCCAAAACATATGTGCATAAATGTCTATTTTGAAGTGTTATACTGCTCTATCTGTAATTTTTTCAGGTGAAATATGGCATCTGGAAAAAATAGAACTTGAAAAAAGTTTGAACTGTCTCATTTATTTTATTTTTCTGATTATGACCAACCAGGAATGCTGCTTTGTCTAGAAGGATGGACTTTTAGCTTTATTTGTTCATTCAGAACAAATATTAGAAAACATTGATAGGATACTACTCTTCTATGGAAATAACCAAAGAGTGGTGGATTGCATTTTAAAATCAGAAAGGCCCAGTATGGGCCATGAGTAATTTCAGAAAGATACAGTGCAATCCAGTGTGGCTACCTGTGACCCTCTGAACTTGGAGAATTATGGGCATCCTATCAAGCAAGCAAGGAAGGAAGAGCCAAAGATCACTTGTGTGCTTGTCTTGCCCTGCAAAACACGTAAACAACCAGTTTTGGCTGTCTAAGTCTTTTTTTCCTGCTTGAAAAGAGTAGAAGTTGAGGCCCCACTGGGATGCCTTGTATCTTGGCAGAACCTCATTCCTCTTCTCCCTGTTTCTTGGAATCCTTCAGCCCTATAGGTGGCTCTTCGATCAGTCTTTGTCCTTACAGACAGAACTGTGCTTCTACCCCAGTCCCAGGAATGAATGCTCCATATGACCATCAAAATTGCAGGGATCTGATTTTTAATCCCATAAAAATACTTCCTTCCCTATCCTCCAAGTGTTTGTCTTTTTCAGATAGTTTATAATGCTGACAGAGATCTCATAATGTGTGTGACAGCAATTCATACAGTGTAGTCTGTTACAGAGAGGAAAATGTATTTTGATGAAAGAATATTGAACATGGTTTCAGAGGGTCAGTACTGTTCCTCAAGGCAGGTTTTGGAAGGGGCGTTAAGAAATAAGCAATGGAGGACGGGACAGTAAGATGGGTGATTAGAGCTGAGATAGAAGTGAAACCTGGTACTGACAGGGCTAACACAAAAAAAGGGAGGGGGGTAATGTGAGACAATTGCAATCTGGAATAGAAAGTGAAAAGGGATTGCAGAGATATGTAGGGAACAATTTGGCTGTCTATGAATGTACAGCCACTGTAATTGGGGTACATCGTTCAGTGGAAATAGGTTGTGCTGTCTTGCCAAGTGGCAGAGTCCTATAGGAATGGGGTATACATGTTTAATACAGAAAGCTAGTTACATATTTGTGTTGGTTCCAGGTAATTTCAAAAAGAAAAGTATTCATAGGACACTTTTCCATTTTATCAATGGCTGTTTTAAAAAAGAAGTGTTGCCTAAAAATAAAATAATGTAGACATCCGTTCTATTTGTTCTTATGCTAGAATAAATGTTTAATGGCTACCCAGATCCTTCAAGGTATAAAGATAGTATTAGGCACAGTGCTGTGTATTTCTGAGCAATTGTGACATCTGGTGGATACTTTGGAATAAACATCTACAAAAGTAATCAAGAAACTAAAATGATTTTTCAATTCTTTGTTAAAAGTTGTTGAAAGTGTAAACAAAAGTAGCTTTGATCTGGTAGCTAAATTTTCCCTGTAATGCTCACTATTACAGATGGCTGTGTAGTTATTGCTGTAATCCCTCAACTTTCTGACCCATACATAGGGACTCACACTGAAGGAGTGGGAGGAAATGCAGCCTGTGGACACTCAGCCATACTGATACAATCATTTATGGAAGTCCTCAGCAACTTTGACCAGAGAAGGGCATTAGACCATGTCGTACTTTCTTGTTATAAAGAGGCTACATCCATTTCATTGAGTTAGAATACACCAGAGGGAACAAGCTACCTCTGGAAAATGTCTTTCTCTTAACAGTCAAATAATGTGCAGATCTTATCTGAGGAACTGTATTGATAGTAATATAATGTAAATGTATTTAAAATGTTTAGATGCTTTAAATAAGACTCAGAGGAGGAACCACGCTAATCTGTTGCAGCAGAAACAGAATCTTGTGTCACTGTAACAAGCGTGGACAAGCATATTCGAGCATCAGTTGTTGTGGACACTGTTCTTCACCAGCATCATCTGAGCGTTAATCATCTGACAGTGTTAATGTACATTTATGTCTGGTTAATTTGGTTAGTCTTTAATTTGCTACAAGTTGCTTAGTTGTTATTAAATAGTGACTTGCTGAAGCCCACCCAGAATCTGCAAAAGATTAGGTTTTAACACATGACTAGGAGAAGCACTTCATATAGGAAATGAAACATTGTGTCACTATGTATATGACTACTTAACACATGCTTCTAGTGCTTTTTTTCCTATCCTGGGTGCCTTCCCATATTTAAGGACATCGCCTAGTGCTAATAGAACAGATATTTTAGGTTGCATTTCGTTGTTTCTTTGAGCCACACTAGCTGTGACACCAGACATATGTATTACAACCAGATTCTTGCTGAATTCTTATAGAGGGGATGAGTGGGACAAAATTGCAGTGTCTATTGCATTTGATGAATCCTCATTCCTGACACTTCTAAATCCCAAAGAGAGAAAGCACTCTGCCAGTGGAGCCAGCAATAATGCAAAAGAAGAAAGGCACAAATGGTGCTAGACATCCATGTATTTGTAGTGCTTTCCTATTGTGTTGCTGAATTTTCACATCAGAGCTCACATGTCAAATGCAGTCCCTTGATACAGATGTATCATTGTAATAAGGCATGGAAGAACAGCTCCGTAGTTTACAAATTTTCTGTGCATAGGCTTATAAGCAATGAATTGTGCAGCCTGCAGTTCTGTTCTTTTGGCCAAAATTTCATGATAGGTGTACAGAATTAGTATGTGCCTGCTATTACCTAGGCAGCAGTTTTACAGGACATACTGTGAGCTGAACTGCTGAAATATGCAAGTCTTTAGAAAATGGACTATGCCCTTGTAGAAAGTAGTGTAGTGGTAAATGGCGCAATGCAAGCAGCAGTACAGTCAGCTCTTGCAGTCCATGTTTTCTTAATATTAAAAGATATTTTTGAAATAGCTCACACGTTCTTATATTCACCTCACTGTTCTCTTCTATGGCTGTGGAGGAAAGGAGCTGTCCAGAGTCCTGGATTGAATAAATTATCCTGGTAAACATATAATCTGAATGCATAGGTACACATTTGTAACCTGTGGTAATTGGCATGTCTTGATATCAGACAACACTAAGTATGAGAATGAGGCAACTAGTGTTTAAGTGACTTCTTATTTATTATTCTGTTTATTTCCTGGGTGTTCCTATACATGTTGATTGCTTTAAGGATGACAAACCTGCTGTGACTCAGAAGGTTATTTTAGAAAGTTGAGACAAAATGGGAAGAACTATAACTTGTTATAGTTAACTAATTTGACTTCCTGTATAAGAATTAGCAGTTACAAGCTCAGATTTGCAAAACATTTATCTACTTTCTAAGCACATCATGATAACGTAAGAGAAGAAAGAAATATTATGAAGTTGTTGAAATGTCACAGCTCTTATATAGATCTACATTGGAATATTGCTGAACTTTGACCTAAGCAATTGATTCCATTTAATGTAGATTATGGGTTGGATCCAGGATCTGTCTTCCATTGAGATAAAGGCTCCATTCCAGGAAGTTGTCTTCACCTAATTTTTGTAAGTCACCTTCCCGGGTACCATAAGTAAACCCATTCAGCAAGTTTCTGTGACCCCATATGTAGCATTTTCAGGGGCTGAGGGAGCTGCCATGGGAAGCAGGGTCAGGGAAATTGCTTCCACCAACCTAATTACATGGATCCAGAAATCTGGATTCACTCCAATATATAAATTTAGCGATACTGCTGTGTATTGATGTCTCAGTGTCAATGGCATGGGCCAGCAGCCTTAATGTCAACAGCACAGTCATACTGACACCACATACTTTCTTTCTGCCTTTAATTGAGCATGAAATAAATTGCTGCTTAAAAAGCCTAATAGCATTTTATGGAAGTGCCTTTTTAAAAACCGTGCTATA